AAACAGGATAATGCCATTGCTGAACAGGCTTAAAACCAAATTCATGTCTGAAACTGGCCACGATAAGACAGGAATGCACGTCTGGTGTAAACGTGCAAGCGTATATATATATGTGTGTGTTATCTCACAATTGCAAGCTATCCTTACACGAGTAATTCTGGTTTGGTTTCTCCCTTTACGCCCTGGAACAATCTCTTTGTTTTAAGAAGACTGAATTGATATCAAATAGTCTTCCCAACAAGTACACAATACTTTTCAGGGGAACGTTTTTTCACACCTGAGCGACGCTGACACCGTACCTGACATAATAATGATAATATTGCTATACTCTATGAAATATCACGAGCCATGCAGGTGTATTTCAATACCATGCAGTCATCATGCAAATTGGGTCATATAGACCGTGCAGGATTGTTAGTTATTGTACTGGTACTTCACAATTATGGTTCCAAATGGTACAATAATAGACCAGAATCAGGCAGTTTCCACACGTGTGTTTATATACAGTATGTCTAGCTCTACATATTGCTACCTTACAACATAACGTTAAACTCATTCTAAGCTATGAGTTCGGTACACTAAAATATTACGGACGTAATGCTAATTGGATTTTCCTTGTATCATTATTCAATAAACAAGGTGGTGTATCAGAATTATATGATGTTCATTATACTTCATTATAGTTCAATTATGTAGTTTCCACTACATTGTAAAACCAATCAGTTACTTACCATGCAAAAGACATCGTCGAAAACGTGGGCATGTCACAAGTAATGTTTACAAACATTCTAATGACTGTGGAGCCAGGGAACTATATGGCTGCATGGGTCCTTCTACAGAGTAAAAACCATTGACTACACATCCGTGGTAAAAACTGAAGAGGTGCAATGTTTTCTGACAGAGTATGTCTTGCAGACAGATTATAGACTTGCAAAAGGGCAAATTGTGTTACAATACAATTTAGAAATACTCCTTATGGGAGGCCATTACTGGCACAGTGAACAGTATGCCAATTTATTTAATATATAAACTGTGTTTGATTAATTTAATTAGTAACAATGTTGCAGAGCATTTGTTAAACATTCGAACGTAGAACAAGCTACTAAAATCAGTGGTTGTGTGGAAGTCACCTACCACGACAAAAAATTTCTCTGAGGAATTTTAACAAATAACAGACTTTGGAAAACTGCTGATATTATGTGGGCCCCACACACAAGTGGGAATCCTAATTCCTTTGCACAGGTTTACTCGGAACAAGGGTCGTTGACCTGATGATTTTCCTGGTAAAGTGATATTATCGGCGTTAATACTAAACTATTGAGTTTTGAGTATTGCATTATGGATATAGCATGAAAAATACTGGTAATACTGTTCAGTTCCAAGCAAAATTTTAGGGAATACTCATGACGAATATGCATACAACATTCAAATATGCATTTAATTCATTATATTATTGAAGATTATCACTGACAATCTTTGCTGTTAATTAATTTACCATTCCATGAGTGTTAGCTCAATTTCACCTTTTGTGAAATGGTTATACATGGCTCTCGTGATTCCAACACTTTGAATATCTCACATGACTCCTTAGTGACGTAGTCCAATGACGAAATAGAATTTAAAAATTAAATGAGACTTACCTTAAGTCGAAATTTGATTGTAATTCTATGAGTCTTTGGACAAGGAAACTAAGGAGTCACCCACCCATGACATTTTTGGGTTTGTGGTTATAAGTCAGTGTTGGGCACTGGATTGGCGAATACACAAGAAATGTCCTGTTCAGTCTTGCCCACCCCTATACGGTATCTATTCTGTTGAAATCACTCGTTGCTTTAAATATTGAACATTCGATCTGCGTGCGCATATCTCACATGACTCCTTAGTTTCCTTGTCCAAAGACTCATAGAATTACAATCAAATTTCGACTTAAGGTAAGTCTCATTTAATTTTTAAATTATAGTAGCAGCTTCTAAACGGCTGAATTTGAATTAAAACTGCAATGAACTTATAAAATTAACAAAAATAATCACAAATTAGCGAAATATATTGCAAATGTAGCTTATATTAAATCGCCACCCGATTGCTCTCTCTTCCGCAGAGGTTTCAGTGACTACAATGAGCTTTACATGGCGCTTGCCGTATTTATCAACAAACTGACGTATAATTATAAAGTATACTTTATAACTATACGTCAGTCGATAGTGCAATCTGATGGCGATTTAATATAAGCTACATTTGCAATATATTTCGCTAATTTGCGATTATTTTCTAATTTTACTGCAGTTTTAATTTAAATTCAGCCGTTTAGTGGGCCGGCTATAATTGTAGTTGTGAATTGTGATCGTTATAAAATATATCAACAACAATAGTATAATCTAATTAGCACCAGCCAATCAAATGACAGATTTAAAAATCGTTTGTCTAATCGGCCAATCAGCGCTCAGTCCAGATTCTGGACTGAACAACCAGGCAAAATGCCACTTTTGTGTCAGGCCGTACTTTTCTCCCTTTCGCCCACGATCAGGCGTGCCTGTGCCCTAAAAAGTACGGCCTGATACTCAGGTTAAATCAAGTTTTACCAAATAATATTTGATAGGCAATTTTATGCAAATTTTAACATAAAAGATTGTCAAATATGCTTTTTCGATTTAAAACATCGATAGCTCAGTCAATATTGCAGGGATATTCAAATGTTATATATCAAAATCTAAGTTAGCCCTTTTTGAATACGATAAAGATTATTTGAGTGCAATAGCTTTTATAGTTTTTGCGTTACATCAAATCAAACAGCGCAAGTTTTTTTGGGACACCCGCGGTATATATATATATATATATATATATATATATATATATATATATATATATATATATGTATATTAAAAACAATGTTAACCAAAATATAGCTTTGAGATCTATTACCAACAACTACCGTCAACAACTGACAACAAGCAGACAATTACGTACCGACAACAAGCTGACAAATACAGTGGCAACAAGCAAATACTGTACATATACTATCATTGTATTCTTATACTTATTTGTATCGTTACGGAGTTATTAAAATTGTTTACTTCCAGTCTATGACTATGGGCCTGTTCATATGATCCCGCTTACCGGGACGTCTCGCTTACCGAGACGAATATTTCCGTGCGTTCATATGGAGTATTTCGTCCCGCTTGCCGAGATGAAATTACATTGTAGTTCTATAATTAGCGTATGCAAAACTTCTACATTTCAGTCAAGCAACACAAATACTTAGCGATTTTAGTGTTTTTCTTCGTTTATTTACAAGAAAAAGTAGTATTTCTTCAGATGCTTATTTAATACTTGTTTACAAAACAAACATAAAACCAAGTAAAAAGTGTTAAATTAAACCGGCAAGACTTGTTTGACTTCATCCAGGTAAGCGGGCTGGCGTGTTCATATGGAAAAATTTGCATCCCGCCTACCTATGATCTCGGCAAATTCAAACGAGATCTCGGCAAGCGGGCCAGGTCGCTTTCTCATATGAACACAATGCAAAATTTTATAGGAACATAGATAGGCGGCGAGATCATCGGTAAGCGAGACGTCCTGGTAAGCGGGATCATATGAACAG